AAGTAAGATTTTTTAAAAAAATATTTTTTCAAGGCGCGGATTTTTTTAAAAAATATATTTAGGGCGTGGATTTTTTAACAAATATTTTTTAGGGCGTGGATTTTTTTAACAAATATTTTTTAGGGCGTGGTTTTTTAAAAAAAAAAATATGTTTTAGGGCTTGGATTTTTAAAAAAGAAAAAAAATTCAAGGCGTGGATTTTTAAAAAATATTTTTTTCAAGGCGTGGATTTGAAAAATATTTTTTTTTTAAGGCGTGGATTAAAAAAAAAAATCAAGTCGTAGATTTAAAAAAAAAAATTCAAGGCGTGGATTTTTTTATATTTTTTTTCAAGGCGTTTTTTTTAATTTTTTTCAAGTCGTTTTTTTTTTTTTTTTTTTCAAGGCGTGGATTAAAAAAAAATTTCAAGTCGTGGATTTTAAAAAAAAAAATCAAGGCGTGGATTTAAAAAAAATACAAGTCGTGGATTTTTAAAAAAAAAATTCAAGGCGTGGATTTAAAAAAAATTCAAGTCGTGGATTTTTTAAAAAAAATGGAGGCGTGGATTTTTTAAAAAATATTTTTTCAAGCCGTGGATTTTTTTAAAAAAATTTTTTTAAAGGCGTGGATTTTATTAAAAAAATATTTTTTCAAGGCGTGGATTTTTTTAAAAAATATTTTTTCAAGGCGTGGATTTTTTTAAAAAATATTTTTTCAAGGCTTGGATTTTTAAAAAAAAATAGTTTTTCAAGGCGTGGATTTTTTTAAAAAATATTTTTGCAAGGCGTGGATTTTTTTTAAAAAATATTTTTGCAAGGCGTGGATTTTTTTTTTAAATATTTTCTAAAGTCGTGGATTTTTTAAAAAATATTTTTTCAAGGCGTGGATTTTTTTAAAAAAAATATTTTCTCAAGGCGTGGATTTTTTTAAAAAAATATTTTTCCAAGGAGTGGATTTTTTTTAAAAAATACTTTTTCAAGGTTTGGATTTTTTTTAATAATTTTTCAAGGTTTGGATTTTTTTTAATAATATTTTTTCAAGGAGCGGATTTTTTAAAAGAATATTTTTTCAAGGCGTGGATTAAAAAAAATTTCAAGGGGTGGATTTTGTAAAAAATATTTTTTCAAGCCGTAGACATTAAAAAAATATTTTTTCAAGGCGTGGACTTTTAAAAAATATTTTTTTAAAGCGTGAATTTTTAAAAATATTTTTTAAAGCGTGGATTTTTTAATATTGTTTAAAGCGTGGATTTTTTAATATTTTTTAAAGTGTGGATTTTTTTAATATTTTTTAAAGCGTGGATTTTCCTTTAAACATTTTTTAAAGCGTGTATTTTTTTAAATATTTTTTCAAGGTGTGAATTTTTTAAAAAAATATTTTTTCAATGCGTGGATTTTTTCATATTTTTTCAAGGCGTGGATTTTGTTTATATTTTTTCAAGGCGTGGATTTTGTTTACATTTTTTCAAGGCGTCGATTTTTTTAAAAAAAAAATATTTTTTTCAAGGCTTGGATTAAGAAAAAAAAATATATATATGTTTTTTTAAGGCTTGGATTAAAAAAAAATATATATATATTTTTCAAGGCGTCGATTTTTTTTTAATATTTTTTTCAAGGCGTGGTTTTAAAAAAAAATATATTTTTTCAAGGCGTGGTTTTAAAAAAAATATATTTTTTCAAGGCGTGGTTTAAAAAAAAATATATATTTTTTCAAGGCGTGTTTTTTTAAATATTTTTTCAAACCTCCTAACAAGCCCTGGATTTTTAAAAAAAAATATTTTCTCACATCCTAACAAGACGTGGACTTTTTAAAAAATATCCTTTCAAGCTCCTAACAAGGCTTGGATTTGATCAAAAAAATATATTTTTTTCGATTTTTTCAGCACAAAATATTTTTATTGTTTCAAATTTTTATTCTTCTTCTTCCTGCCTCTGCTCTAAAACTTACGAGCCACCTCAACACATTTTCGAATTAAATTCTTAAAATCAAAGAAATTCAATTTCAAATTTGTCAAATTCATGGTAACACAACCATTGCCATTCTTGACAGCCAATATCTCCTTGATCGTATAAATGACAGCACGTTTCAATTTTTCCATTTGTTTGCCGACATTTTCCACGCACAATGGCGTGGGAATTTTCTTGGCATCTCTCGTGGCTACATAGTCAGCATTATTGCATACATTTTTATTGATATCCACCAATGTCGTCAGGATGCCCAGAACATCATTGGCATTGTCCAGTACATAGCTGACTGTCGCAGCTGCCTCGGTGTCACACAGCTTAATGTCATACTGAAAGGTGTTAATAATATCCTGCAGATCATAGGCGGATTCCGACAGACACTGTAGGCCGGCAAAATTTTTGGTAGCCAACTTGACATAGTTGGCAGTGGTAACTCCAAAACAACAAAAACAACTGACAATGGCGACAGCGGCTAGAAATGCCATTGAAATTCTGCAGTTCTTCATGGTGACTTTTCCCTTTTTTTTTTTTTGCTCTTTTGTTTGAAGTATGAAGTTCCTCAGATTTCTGTGATTTGATAAGGTTTCACTGCCAAGGCCATTATTTATATGGGAAATGGGTCAGGTTTTTGTTTTGATTTTTGTCATATCTTATCTCTTCGATTAATAAGCATTTTGTTGACTTGAAAAAGAATTTTAATTAGAGTACAATGTAGACAAAACTATTTGTAAGCATCTCTTTTGTAAATGGTAATTAGATGCAATGGTAGAAAAATAACTATTCGAAAACTCCACGCCTTTTTGGGAGCTTCAAAAAATATTCTTTAAAAAATCCACGTTTTGTTGGACCTATAAAAAGGTTAAAAATAAAAAAATTAAAAAAAAAATAATTTTGAAATAATATTCTTTAAATAATCCACGTTTTGTTGGGACCTATAAAAAATAATTTTGAAAAAATATTCTTTAAAAAATCCACGTTTTGTTGGGACCTATAAAAAATACTTTTGAAAAAATATTCTTTAAAAAATCCACGCCTTGTCTAGTCCTTGAAAAAATATTCTTTAAAAAATCCACGTTTTGTTGGGACCTATAAAAAATACTTTTGAAAAAATATTCTTTAAAAAATCCACGCCTTGTCTAGTCCTTGAAAAAATATTCTTTAAAAAATCCACGCCTTGTCTAGTCCTTGAAAAAATATTCTTTAAAAAATCCACGCCTTGTCTAGTCCTTGAAAAAATATTCTTTAAAAAATCCACGCCTTGTCTAGTCCTTGAAAAAATATTCTTTAAAAAATCCACGCCTTGTCTAGTCCTTGAAAAAATATTCTTTAAAAAATCCACGCCTTGTCTAGTAGTTGAAAAAATATTCTTTAAAAAATCCACGCCTTGTCTAGTCCTTGAAAAAATATTCTTTAAAAAATCCACGCCTTGTCTAGTCCTTGAAAAAATATTCTTTAAAAAATCCACGCCTTGTCTAGTCCTTGAAAAAATATTCTTTAAAAAATCCACGCCTTGTCTAGTCCTTGAAAAAGTATTCTTTAAAAAATCCACGCCTTGTCTAGTCCTTGAAAAAATATTCTTTAAAAAATCCACGCCTTGTCTAGTCCTTGAAAAAATATTCTTTAAAAAATCCACGCCTTGTCTAGTCCTTGAAAAAATATTCTTTAAAAAATCCACGCCTTGTCTAGTCCTTGAAAAAATATTCTTTAAAAAATCCACGCCTTGTCTAGTCCTTGAAAAAATATTCTTTAAAAAATCCACGCCTTGTCTAGTCCTTGAAAAAATATTCTTTAAAAAATCCACGCCTTGTCTAGTCCTTGAAAAAATATTCTTTAAAAAATCCACGCCTTGTCTAGTCCTTGAAAAAATATTCTTTAAAAAATCCACGCCTTGTCTAGTCCTTGAAAAAATATTCTTTAAAAAATCCACGCCTTGTCTAGTCCTTGAAAAAATATTCTTTAAAAAATCCACGCCTTGTCTAGTCCTTGAAAAAATATTCTTTAAAAAATCCACGCCTTGTCTAGTCCTTGAAAAAATATTCTTTAAAAAATCCACGACTGTCTAGTCCTTGAAAAAATATTCTTTAAAAAATCCACGCCTTGTCTAGTCTTTGAAAAAATATTCTTTAAAAAATCCACGCCTTGTCTAGTCCTTGAAAAAATATTCTTTAAAAAATCCACGCCTTGTCTAGTCCTTGGAAAAATATTCTTTAAAAAATCCACGCCTTGTCTAGTCCTTGAAAAAATATTCTTTAAAAAATCCACGCCTTGTCTAGTCCTTGAAAAAATATTCTTTAAAAAATCCACGCCTTGTCTAGTCCTTGAAAAAATATTCTTTAAAAAATCCACGCCTTGTCTAGTCCTTGGAAAAATATTCTTTAAAAAATCCACGCCTTGTCTAGTCCTTGAAAAAATATTCTTTAAAAAATCCACGCCTTGTCTAGTCCTTGAAAAAATATTCTTTAAAAAATCCACGCCTTGTCTAGTCCTTGAAAAAATATTCTTTAAAAAATCCACGCCTTGTCTAGTCCTTTGAAAAATAGTCTTTAAAAAATCCACGCCTTGTCTAGTCCTTGAAAAAATATTCTTTAAAAAATCCACGCCTTGTCTAGTCCTTGAAAAAATATTCTTTAAAAAATCTACGCCTTGTCTAGTCCTTGAAAAAATATTCTTTAAAAAATCCACGCCTTGTCTAGTCCTTGAAAAAATATTCGTTAAAAAATCCACGACTTGTCCAGTCCTTGAAAAAATATTCGTTAAAAAATCCACGCCTCTAGTCCTTGAAAAAATACTCTTTAAAAAATCCACGCCTTGTCTAGTCCTTGAAAAAATATTCTTTAAAAAATCCACGCCTTGTCTAGTCCTTGAAAAAATATTCTTTAAAAAATCCACGCCTTGTCTAGTTCTTTAAAAAAATATTCTTTAAAAAAATTCACGCCTCTTTAAATAATTCACGTTTTGTTGGGAGATTCAAAAAAATATTTTTTAAAATTGATTTTGAAAAATTCCAAATATTTTTTTATTAAAATTTTCTTCAATATTAATTAACTTTTTCTCTCATTCCAGTACGCAGCTATGATAATCATGCCAAATGTGGCCTTGTCTGGGTACCACACGTTGTCGCCTATCGTTGTCGCACCTGTGGCATATCACCCTGCATGTCGATTTGCCGAGACTGTTTCAAGAAAGGCGATCACACAAATCACGATTTCAATATGTTCTTATCACAGGCTGGCGGAGCCTGTGATTGTGGCGATACATCCGTAATGAAAGCGGAGGGCTTTTGCAGTGACCATGGCATCAATAATCGTCAAAATAAAGAACCCGTTCCAACCAATCTCTTGGCCGTTGCCGAGGCAATAATGCCAAAGTTGCTCTTCCGTTTGTTGCAACATTTTCGCGAACATAGCGATGCCGCTTCGCAAACCTTCAACATGGCTGCCCATTTGTGTGAGGAATTCACGAACATGCTAATCGATCTCAACAATATGGGTGAGATAATGCGCAAAGTTATGACCCGAGCCCTGATTAGCAAAGAGGTCTATAAACAATTCAACGATGTCAATTATCTAACATCACGACATGCACAAGTCCTCAAGGAGAATCGCGAGAAGTATGAAGATGCCGTCAATCGTTTTCCCCGCCCCGAACCACCAGATGATTATAAGCATTTACCTGCGCTGGGCGAGAAACTCGTGCACTCTACTCTACTGGAGGAGTTCATATTTTGGACATTTAAATTTGAATTTCCTCAGAATTTGGTATGCTTCCTGCTGAATATGCTGCCCGATCAAGACTACAAGGAACATCTGACACGAACATTTGTTATGCACTACAGTCGTATACCATCCGTCTTGGAAATGTCCCGGGATCCGGATACGCTCAGCAATCGTGTTGTTCACATGAGTGTTCAGTTATTTTCCAATGAAAGTTTAGCCTTGAAAATGGTCAAAGAGCTGTCGTTGCTGCATGTCATGATCATTAGCCTGAAGCTGATGATGTCGAAGATTCTCATACAAAATACATTACATGGTAAGTTTGTACACGCCATTAACAAAATGCATAGAATATTTTCTAGAGCTTCCGATTTTTTAAAGAAAACCATGAGAAGCCGCTGTTAGTTGTTCGGCAGATAAATATATTCCGACTGTATATGGTGTATAGAAGGGCTTCTGTATATTGAAGGCCTATAGTTGATCTTCTGTATGCTGAACCTCTCAAGAAGATATCCCGTATATAAGAATGTAGAAGTCCTTTTATTTATAGAAAGTCTCTTGTTGATCTTCTGTAAATTAAAAGACTCTTTGTAGTCTCTGTACATTGGAAAATACCAGTTTACCTATAAAAGGTCTTCTGTATATTGAAGTTCTCCAGAAAGTCTTCTGTCTATTAGGGGTCGCTACAACGAATTCAGCTTATTAAAGGTAGTTGGTATATTGGAGGCCTCTAAAAGATATTCTGTATGTTGGAAACCTCTATAGGTCTTTTGTCTACAACAAGGTTTTATGTCAATTGGAGGCCTCTACAAGGTTTTTTGCTTATTGAAGTCCTACAGAAATTCTTGTGTCTATTAAAGATCTCTACAAGGCCTTCAGCCTACTGAACACCTCTACAAGTTAGTTTGTCTATTACAGGCCTTTAAAATGATTTCTGCCTATTGAAGACCTCTAAAAGTCCTTCTGTCTACTGAACACCTCTACAAGGTTTGAAGGCCTTTAGAAGGTGTTGTGTCTATTAAAGCCCTTCGGAAAGTCTTCTATCAATTGAAGGCATCTACAAGGCCTTCCGCCAAAAAAAAAAATATTCTCTAAAAAATCCAGATCCTTGAAAAAATATTCTTTAAAAAATCCACGCCTTGTGGTGACAGATCCTTGAAAAAATATTCTTTAAAAAATCCACGCCTTGTGGTGACAGATCCTTGAAAAAATATTCTTTAAAAAATCCACGCCTTGTGGTGACAGATCCTTGAAAAAATATTCTTTAAAAAATCCACGCCTTGAAAAAATATTCTTTAAAAAATCCACGCCTTGTGGTGACAGATCCTTGAAAAAATATTCTTTAAAAAATCCACGCCTTGTGGTGACAGATCCTTGAAAAAATATTCTTTAAAAAATCCACGCCTTGTGGTGACAGATCCTTGAAAAAATATTCTTTAAAAAATCCACGCCTTGTGGTGACAGATCCTTGAAAAAATATTCTTTAAAAAATCCACGCCTTGTGGTGACAGATCCTTGAAAAAATATTCTTTAAAAAATCCACGCCTTGTGGTGACAGATCCTTGAAAAAATATTCTTTAAAAAATCCACGCCTTGTGGTGACAGATCCTTGAAAAAATATTCTTTAAAAAATCCACGCCTTGTGGTGACAGATCCTTGAAAAAATATTCTTTAAAAAATCCACGCCTTGTGGTGACAGATCCTTGAAAAAATATTCTTTAAAAAATCCACGCCTTGTGGTGACAGATCCTTGAAAAAATATTCTTTAAAAAATCCACGCCTTGTGGTGACAGATCCTTGAAAAAATATTCTTTAAAAAATCCACGCCTTGTGGTGACAGATCCTTGAAAAAATATTCTTTAAAAAATCCACGCCTTGTGGTGACAGATCCTTGAAAAAATATTCTTTAAAAAATCCACGCCTTGTGGTGACAGATCCTTGAAAAAATATTCTTTAAAAAATCCACGCCTTGTGGTGACAGATCCTTGACAGATCCTTGAATATTCTTTAAAAAATCCACGCCTTGTGGTGACAGATCCTTGAAAAAATATTCTTTAAAAAATCCACGCCTTGTGGTGACAGATCCTTGAAAAAATATTCTTTAAAAAATTTAAAAAATCGACGCCCTGTGGGATTCTTTAAAAAATCCACGCCTTGTGGTGACAGATCCTTGAAAAAATATTCTTTAAAAAATCCACGCCTTGTGGTGACAGATCCTTGAAAAAATATTCTTTAAAAAATCCACGCCTTGTGGTGACAGATCCTTGAAAAAATATTCTTTAAAAAATCCACGCCTTGTGGTGACAGATCCTTGAAAAAATATTCTTTAAAAAATCCACGCCTTGTGGTGACAGATCCTTGAAAAAATATTCTTTAAAAAATCCACGCCTTGTGGTGACAGATCCTTGAAAAAAAAAGAATCTCTAAAAAATCAACGCCTTGTCGTGGCAGATCCTTGAAAAAAAATCTCTAAAAAATCCACGCCTTGTGGTGACAGATCCTTGAAAAAATATTCTCTAAAAAATCCACGCCTTGTGGTGACAGATCCTTGAGAAAATATTCTTTAAAAATTCACGCCTTGTGGTGACAGATCCTTTAAAAAAATATTCTTTATAAAATCCACGCCTTGTGGTGACAGATCCTTGAGAAAATATTCTTTAAAAATTCACGCCTTGTGGTGACATATCCTTGAGAAAATATTCTTTAAAAATTCACGCCTTGTGGTGACAGATCCTTGAAAAAAATATTCTTTATAAAATCCACGCCTTGTGGTGACAGATCCTTGAAAAAAATATTCTTTATAAAATCCACGCCTTGTGGTGATAGATCCTTGAAAAAATATTCTTTATAAAATCCATGCCTTGTGGTGACAGATCCTTGAAAAAATATTCTTTATAAAATCCACGCCTTGTGGTGACAGATCCTTGAAAAAATATTCTTTAAAAAATCCACGCCTTGTGGTGACAGATCCTTGAAAAAATATTCCTATAAAAATTCACGCCATGATAAACCTTGAAAAAAAAAATATTCTTTAAAAAATCCACGCCTTGTTTTAAGGTTAGAAGAAAATATTCTTTAAAAAATCTCAACCTTGCTAGTCCTTGAAAAATAGATTTCCTCTGGTATTTGTTAACTCATCTTTAATCCATTTTTTTTTTTTTTGTATTTTCAGATCCTTCAAAAAATTTCCACTTTGTTATCGACTGCACCCGCCAAGTCATGAAAGATCATTGCTATTGGCCATTGGTATCGGATTTCAATAATGTTCTCTCACACGAATCTGTCGCATTGGTCTTTTTACGCGATGACAATTTAATTGATATGTGGTTTCAATTTCTATCCATGCTGCAGGGTATGAATGTTAATGTACGCGAAACCGCATCCCATGTTGAATTCGAACCGAATTCATATTATGCCGCATTCTCGTGTGAACTGGAGGCAAGTGCCTATCCCATGTGGTCGATTATATCACATTTGAAAGATGGCAAACATGCCGATTTGGCCAAAAAGATAATTAGCTATTGTGTGGATATGTTGCGCGAATGGCTGGAAGCCATCTATTTTCAGGAACCAAAAATTTCACAGGTAAGTCTGGTGTTTTCTCTTTTGTTTTTAATATGATATTAATATGATATTAATATTAACATTTGTTTAATCCTTTCCAGGAGGAAATGCTTCAGGCCTCATTTCATTTCCCACTGCATCGTTATTTAGCGGCTTTTGTCTGTCAAGCTGTAACAAAAATGGGCATGTCATTGTCAGAAGTTCTGCCAACCAAATTATATATATTGCCTCTACTTATGATGCATCCCTTGAGGGTTCAGGTGAGTACATGTTTTGATTTGTTACCTTTGTTCGTTGATAGGAGAAGTTGTGTGAAGGTGGTTTGTGCGTTCACAACGGAACAAATATCAATCGTTAGTCCCCAAAGGATATACATTTTTATTAGTTTTCTCAGGTTTTCTCAGAAAACGCTGATGCCTTTTCTGTACTCGAAAAGCTAACTTCTGGAAAAGCTAACTCTAAGGTTCATGGTCAAAGGCACAAAAACCCATACGATAGACCGACCACGGTAGCTGCAGTGGCTTCTACATATATGATCTATTGATCGTTCCCAGCTTTTCCTATTCCCCACATAAACGGCAGTAGTCCCCTGCATTTGTATCTCAATTGGAAGTTAGTGACCTGCTGTGATCTT